GCGTCGCGGGCGTCTGCTATTTTTTTCTTATTTTTTTCATGTACATTTTCCAACGCAGGAGCTTGTACTGTTACAGTTTTAAACATGAATTAAAGCCAATGTTATTAACACCAATGTTTTATTTGCGAATGAATCAGTCCTACGATCACAATTTCGCAAACCTTGAAGTATGAAATAACTTGAGTGTCAATTTGTGTTCAAAGGAAACTAAATGTATTTTGTGCCACTTCTTCTAGCAAAGTCTCTCTCATGGGAGAGATGATACTGATACCATTTTCTATTCCTTAATTCATATTTCGCTCAGAGAAAGGTGGTCAATCCATGTGCATACGGTTTTTTCATCTCTTCCCATTGCCGTCTAAGGCGACCCGAGGTAGTTCTTAAAATGACCCTGAGCGTTCAGGTTTCAGACTCGTACTCGGTTTTCAACTGCATTTTGTCAGTTTAATCTTAATTAAAAATTAGCAAACTCTGCTACAATGTTATTTTCCTAGTTATCAAATTTATAGTCTTTGCTTATTTGCTGAAGATATTTTTAAGTTGTCAATGTGGAGAAAATTTGTAAAAAGATTAATAAATTACATAAATAAATAAATTAAATAAATGTGCATAAAGTTCACAATTGTCAATTATTAATTTAGAATTAAACATTATGCTTCTGTTTCCTCCCTATACAGCAGTCTCCAATGTCAATTTTTGACAATATTTTAGTTATCAGTAGTGGCACTCTTTTAACGCTTTAGCAGTACATGCCTCAGAAAATTTAATATCAATTATGCAATATTACATATATAGTATAATATACAATATTGTAGCTGAAATTTTGTTGTTGTTTTCACAAGTGTGAATGATTGGGCAAATTTAAACAAAATGATCTTATTATGTTATCAACTCAAAATCTTAGCAAGGAGGACAACATCTGTTCTGAGAAATCTGTGAATTTGCAACACAAAGTTGCAGGTCACCAGGCTTCTTGACCGTGTACAAGATCCAACATCACTCGAATGAGCTTTTGAGCTCGGTGATATACGAAGACGTTGACATTCCCCTGTCTGGGGCCCTGGATACAAGGTCGAACTGCCTGGATCTCGAGAACGCATTCTTGTTGCACAGGATTCTTCTGGCCCCCACTCTCATTCTGCTTTTCTTGCTTATGATAACGAGAGAGAATATACAGCAAATGACCGTCTTTACTGTTGAGTTACGTCGAACCTTCTTTCTCTCTCTCTCTCCTTCTTTCTCTCTCTCTCTCTCTCTCCTTCTTTCTCTCTCTCTCTCTCTCCTTCTTTCTCTTTCTCTCTCTCTCCTTCTTTCTCTTTCTCTCTCTCTCTCTCTCTCCTTTCTCTCTCTCTCTCTCTCTCTCTCCTTCTTTCTCTCTCTCTCTCTCTCCCTCTCTCTCCTTCTTTCTTTCTCTCTCTCTCTCTCTCTTTGTCTCTCTCTCTCGGAGGGAGGTTGCTTTTTAACTATTTGTTGTTTTATATTATTTAATAGTAAAAACTAGTTAAATATTTATATTGTTCTTGGAAGCCCTCTACAAAATTAGCTGGTCATCTTATATTCAGTCAAGTTGTATTCAGGTAATACAGTATATCTTAAAAAAGTTTTAAACTTACGATTCTTGCATTCTAATTATATAAATTCATTGATTTCATGCAAACGTTCTCCAGTTGACAGAAATCCAAGAATAATTTGAAGTCAAATATCTCAAGATCTAATTAGCCTACATCAGTAATATAATTGTGAATCACCCACTACACCTGCAGTTTGGTATGACATAGAGTTTCAAAAAAAGTGTTGACCTCCTGTTCGGTGATATGGTAACAGTAAGAGATCTCGTTGGTTTTGCATTTTAATATTGTGAATTTTTTCAATAATTGTGGTTATGACCACCACAATTGTGTAGCTGGAAGAGTCTTCATCTGCAATTTCAGGGGTAAACCTGGTCATCCAAAATGAAATTGTCTCTGGAGGAGATGCATTTGCTGTGAATATCAGTCAAAGCTGCTTTGCACAGCACGAAACTATATTTTTAATGTCGGTGGTTACAAAATACACTGAACAACATGGATGATTGTCAAATATCATCTTCCCATCAGATCAGGCAAAAGTGCCTATTTAACCAGTAGAAGAAGCCCTTTCCACAGAGTAAATCATGCAATAATATGTACATTTTGAGTTATTGAACTACCTTTGTCAAAAAACCTCACTTTAAATCTCTAGAAAATGTTAGATAGCTATAGTTAGTAGGGTGTGTTGAATGCAAACCCGAATGAACACTGTTGAGTCAGAATTTTTCTACAATTCTTTCTTGATTTAAGTGTGACAGTTCTAGACTACACTCTTCAATCCTTCCTCTTCAATCCTAGGAGGGATGTATTGCAATAATGATTTTGATCTTCTTTGTCTAGGAGTGTTATGGCTCAAAAAATCCAGAGCATGTGGCTGCAGTGAAAGAACTGTATAAACTTATTGGACTTCCAGCTACATACTATATATATGAAGAGGAGAATTATAAATTAATAAGTACTCACATTCAACAAATGTCTCGAGGAATGCCTCATAAGTTGTTCTTCAATTTTTTGGAGAAAATTTACCGAAGAGAGCGCTGAGTCCATTCAGTCATGGAAATATTTTGGTAATAGTATTAATTTGTATTCAGTCATTTATTAATTTCATACACTGAATATATGATGGTATAGTACAATCAAAGAATGTAATCATGTGTGTTCAACATCCTTATGTTGTTCTGTATTTTTTATTTTATAATGTATGTGTTCACATATTATGCTGAGGCAGAATAAGCCATCTGGTAAGAACAGAATTGTTAGAGAATGTATTGAGTAAATTATATTTTTCTAGGTAAAATATTTATTTTCCTGGATAGTACAAGATTTAAATTTTTTACAATTTACGTGTTTTATATCATGACATCAAATTAACAGTTGATTACGCTAGTTGATCTTGAAACTACTTAGATGATAGTAGTAGATTGAGGGAAGGCCATAAGTCATGTAGGTTTTCCATAAAAATGGTGCTCGAGTGGCTTTTAATGCAAAAGTATAAATATATTTATATCTGCTATCATTTATCTTAGCTGCATAATGATTATATAAAATTGTTTATTTTATGTTAATGCATATACAATAAAATTATAAAACAATAAAATTATTTAAAACTTTATGAAAATCAAAGTAATAATCAGTTGAGAGAAGTATATTTCTACTTCTAAAATTGAGAGAGTTGATGTAGACAAAATATTGCAAATTGTTGTAGATGATGGACAACCTTGTATGTGACAGAATTGACAATTTTTACATTTCGTATCAATTATTCAAATTTTGCTTGTTCTTTAGTTTGATAAGAAAATTTCCAAAGAAAACTAGAAATTGTAGTCTTAATATAGAAAATAAAAATCTATTCAACATTTTCAATTTATTGATTATGAATATCTTGTATGTGGCAAGAGCAACATGGGAGGTCTTCATAAGGTGCTTTCAGAAAATTTTTACAATAAATAAATATTTGTACTATTACATAGAATATGTACAATGCGTAAACTTGATCAACTGTATTTTATTAACATCAAAAAGTGTTATTCTTAATCCTGTTTTTTTTCTTTCTTTCTTTTTTTTTTTTTTTTTTTTTTTTTTTTTTTTTTTTTTTTTTTTTT